GTATATTATGGTATACTATGGTATACTATGGTATATTGTGGTATATTATGGTATACTATGGTATATTATGGTAGACTATGGTATATTGTGATAGATCTTACTAATATTATGTTATATCATATTTCAGTATATATAAAAACCCCGCATAAGCCCCTAAACCCAATGCCCTGAACCATAACCCCTGAAACCCGGCACTCTCAACCCTTAGACTGCCCTGATTCCCTAAACTGCCCTAAACCCCTAAAGTGCCCTAAACCCCTAAACTGCCCTAAACCTCCACGCTGCCCTAGACCTCCGAAGCCGAAGCAAGCCTTCCAGCGTGGAGGTCAGGGCATCGCCCAGGACAGCAGCGACTCCCGTGTCGACTTTGGGCATACACCGGTCGAAGGGAGCCTCATGACAAAGATATCCACCCCTCTTAGAGCATATTACATACTGTACATACTGTAACTACATTATATGTCATACCATATTGGGTTGTAGTATATTATGTTATATTATATTGTATTAGATTAGATTGTCTTGGAAAATATTATATGTTCTGATGTTTGATTTTATACTATGTTGTGTTGTATTGTATTGTACTGTACTATATTGTATTATATGAAACTACAATGCAACCTAGAAAATATTATACTACAGTATGCTATCTTCATGGAATTATGTGATATCAGTTGAAAATACTATACAGTATTCTACTATATTATGTTACACCATATTACTACCATATTATGCTATACTACGCTGCACCTATAATATACCATACTATGCTGTGCTGTGCTACACTGATTTTTCTAGCGAGCGCAGTGACCTCCCAACAGGACCTGGTGTTTGATAGATAAAAACCCAAGAAGTCTGTACGAACATGTGGCAACCCTAAACCCTAAACCCTAAATCCTAAACAAACAGCAGCACCACGTCAAATATGATGAGGTTACCTCGCGTAACACCTGGAGAGGCTGACAGACTTGGCGTGCCATCATCCGGAACCTTGATTATAGTATGTGTTTTATTGAGCTATATTACATTCCACTGCATTCCTCTATGTTATAGTATGTTCGATTATCGTTTCTTATCTTATCAGAAAGCTACTTTATGATATTAAATATTGTTGTGATATATTGACCTATATATCATACAATAATATGCCAAGTTATACTATATGGTCTAGTATTACTGCACCACTTCCTCAACTTCTTATCTTCAACCTGTCTTTCTGAGGCGGTCCGCATCTCGGAAGGCGACGCCGGGGAAGGGAATGCAGTATCTCTCGTGGTACGGGCAGACCTGACGATCATCATCCGGGCGTGCGATCTCACGAGCTCCGAACGGCTAGCGGCTAGCAAGAGAGCAGCCTCCAGCGGCAGAGCCGTGAACGTGAACTCATTGTTGATTGTGTCCTGCACACAAACGAAGGGTACAGCTAAGCGAGGAGCCGAGCCGAAGGACCGGAAAGCCCCAAAGTCCTGCAGGCTCGCTGGCACAGAGGGGTTGCTGGCTAAAGTATCCCAGGCAAACTTCCAGGCTGCCGTTGGTGTTGGTGAGTAGACGTAGCTGCGGAGACCTCCGATGATTTCGATGCATAGAAAAACAACCAGAACCACTTCATCTTCGGCCTGGCTACAGAAACAAAAAAGAGCAGGTGAAATTTGGAAACGAAAACCCGTGGTATCCTGGCCCCCCTGGCCTGGAACTGAGGAGTCATTCACCGCCGGCGCAGCGCAGGAGGTCTGATTCAAGCAAACGGCAACCATGAATTTCGTCATCTCCTTTGCCATTGGGCAGGAGAGCAAGCGCAAAGATGTAGAACAAGAACGAACCAACACAGACTTTCGGAATCGGCCGGGGCACTCCCCAAATCGCTTCTGCATCAAAGGACACAGCATTCGCGCTGCCCGACGAGAAAAGCGCCGCGGCTTTGCTGGGATCTGTGAACTCCGACATCCTCGGAAAGCGCTGGGGCTGGACATCACGGCCAAATGCAGCTCCCTCTCTGGGAAGTATTGACTGAAGTAGTCCTTGAACCGATGGAGCTCGCTGCAGTAGCTGGATCCTGCAAACCATCTGATGCTATAGATGCAAACTGAATGCACACGGGGGATCGGCCTCAATATCTTGTAGGCCCAAGCTGGCTTGACAGCTGGCGCAGGGTAGCTTGCAGCAGGCACATCGGTAGTCATCCAGGTCGGCCTAAGTGATACCGGAGCCTCAACGTCATGCTCCGGACCTGCCTAGCTCTTCTCACAGACATTAGCCCAGTTGCACTTGAAAGAATGGTGACCAAAGCATCCTCCGCCTCAATACATGAAACACGCGCCAATGTGCATGAGAGACCTACCATGTGAGCTTAATATCAAGAGCGCTTCTCTGCCCGACTTGCGCAAGACTTCTCTGCGAACCAAGAGAGGATGCAAGGCCAAACATTCCCAGCACTAGACGCACTGGCTCCTTCGAAGCTAACTGGGGCCCATGCTGCTGTGGAACAGATCAGCTGTTTCGCAACCTCATCCACAGTCGCAGATACGTTGAGTGTCCTGTGCAACATGCGGCCACGAGGAGGACGAGGGCACTACGTTTCTCGGCACCACCGCGCCGGTGCTGTATTTTGTGATGTACCAGAGACGGACTTGTGCGATTTGCGGTGCCCCCGAAATCCAAGGACACCGGGATTTTGAACTCGGCTCTACTGCATGCTCTTCTGCGGGCTCTCGCATTGTGAACTCTTCTCTGAACCGCACTTGAAACCACGAAGAGAATGCAATGACACCCTGTCCTAAGGAGCTTCTTCACTCCCTGGTACTCTTCAAGATCGCAATAGTCGCCTTTGAAATCGCGCCTCAGTCGATACATGAAAGATGAATCGAAACTGAGCCACATCTTCCTCCAGATCAAGACACATGGCACAGGATCACAGGCCCTGTGCAACGCATCCATCTCATAAGACAAGCTGCGGCAAGTACAGTTTCGAAGGGTTCCCGTCTGCATATCCAGCAAACACGATCGCTGCGAAGCCAAACCAGTGCCTCAGAGTTCGCACACCGTGTACGTAAAGCATAAAGAATACAGTACTGTGTGTGTGTACATACTCGGTACTTTTGCGATGGCCCGAGCTGGTTTACAGGCAACTACAGCCTCAATGACGACGTTTCCAGTGTCCAGTGCTGTGCGGATCATGCTCGTAGGACTTCTGGCGGTTCGTCACAACTGAAGCTTTCCCCAGAATTGCTAGGTTTTTGTTGTTGCCAGGAGTGGCCTGGGATGGGCTTGGTTCAAGCTGGTCAGCACTGGTGTCCCAGGTAGAGCAAGCTACACATCAGCCCTGAAACTGAGGTGGCCAGCCTTTCACAAAAAGCGCCCGAGTTCCAAGTGCAAGTACTGTCGATCAGCTCAAACATTGGCATGGCAACTAGGGCCAAGGCAACACGAAGATGATGCAGCAAAGAACATCCGTGCAGTGGCGATTCTTCACCGGACCTCCCGAGACGTCCTTCTCGCCACCCTGGGCAGAAAGCCCATGAAGTCCACTGCTACATATTTCGTGAGATTGCTGACACCCAAAAACTCAAACGTGTTGCAAGCATGCGACACCATCTTCACATCGGAATCTTAAACCTTCTTGCCTGCATCCATCAAAAGCGGATTCAATGCAAACACGCGGCCTTGCCGAACTTTTGCTCAGCTTTGGCTTCCTGCATGTAGGCTTTTGCGATTCGGGCGAAGCTGTCAGCTGGCAACACGCTCACTACTCACTTCTGCTGCTTGCGAGGGACATCATCGCGGCTACAGCAGCAGCTGCCCATGACTGGACTGCGCCGGGCCCCTGCGCCAGGGGCCCCCGAGTATCGCCAGCCTCGGGAGAACACCCAACAGCAGCCCTGACTTTGCACAAGAAGCACTTCAGGTAGGGCGCGTGGGTCTGTGTGTGTGAGCCCTTCGACCTACATTTCGGTTCGTCTTTCTTTGGCAAACACGGAGCTGTCAGCTCTGCAAAGCCATCCCCAAGGTGCTTTCTCACGGACTTTTTCGAGCACAGCATCGACACGCAGCGGAAACAACTAGCCGCATGAGTAGCGATCATCACCATTACCACCATCATGTCCAATGCTACCACCGTCAACATGGAAAAGGCCAAACAAAAAAAAAAAACTAGAAGGCGTTGCACTGCATTGCATCGGATGACAAGCTTGCGCAAAGAACAACACCATCAACACCCACAGTGCAGGAGTCTTTGATCTCACCCTCTCAGCTGGTCTTAGTCTCAGCCCGCCGCAGACAAACGGAGGTCTGCAAACGCTCTGCCTTCCCTTTCGGGCCGCGTCGGCTGGCGGAATGAAGACATGTACCAAAAACTTCGGTCAGATCCCCTATAACCCTAAACCCTAAATCCTAAACCCTAAACCGTAAACCCTAAAGCCATGCAGCCTCCAACGTCAACTCCCAAGTCCGAGAAAAAACTAGACCTCCCCTTGCCCGCTTTCCGGGAGCCCTGAAGCGATCAGCTCTACCGAGTCCTGCTTAAACGTCCTCAGCCGTTTACGAATGGCTTCGGCATTGTCGTCGGCCCTGGTCCAGAGCAGAAGGTCGAAGTCTAACTGTTCCCCTCTTGCGCAAGACGAAGGCCTCCCGCTCGTCTTCCCTCGCTCCAGGATGCGTGCCTGTAGGGTTTAGGGATGTTTAGGGTTTAGGGCGCTCTTTGACTTGGGGTCGCTATGCCTACACGCAGTGGCGTGTGCTGGCCTCCATGACGGCTTCTGAGCAGTCGAAGAACAGAGCAAATTGGACTTCCGCGGAATCTGTCCAGCTTTCACAAGTCTTCATAGCTATCCAATGCTGCTTGTGAGTCTGCTGCAGTGCGGAAGATGTCGAGACACCACTGGCCGAATGCCCTGCCTCCAATCACCTTGTCCCAACCGTCCATATTGTCGAAACTTCGCGGGAAGCCATCTATGAGGAACTTGCCCTGCAAGCACGCCGTGAATGCACGTGCATATCTTGCAATTCCTGGATCCCAATCCGCACCTGTGCCCAGCCATGCTTCTCCATCGCCTGCTTGAGAAGCTTCACGGTAATCTCGACCGGAACCAGCTGCCCTTCCTTCCATGGCCATCCCAAAGAAAAGCAGCAGCAATGCAGCAGCAAGCTCTGATGCCTTTTCATCACGACAGGTGGCCTTGATGTAGCTCTCTATGAGCTCACCATACTCTGAGCCGGGTCGACTTCGCTCCTGGCTGCGGTAGACCCCTGATGAAGGAACCCCCGTTCCCTCACTAATTATGTTTAAGGTTTAGGGTTGCACAGAGATCCTCAGATTGAGTTCCGTGAAAGAAACGTGCTTTTGTCATCAGGAGTCTGCATGAAACCAAGAGCGCGAATCGGAAGGGGAGATGAGTTGCTCGAAGTGGTGAGGGGCCATGAAATAAACCCCCCCAAACCCCAAATCCTGGGCCCTAAACCTTAAAATACAAGGTTTAGGGCTTAGCGTCTGTAGGGCTGGGTTTTTTGGGTTTAGGGTTTGGGGCATGTATGGCAAATTGTCGCGCCCAGCTCCTCGCGAAGCAGATCTCCGGCACTCAAGTGGCGGTAGCCGAAGGTCTGCACCAAAGAGCCGCAGCGGGGTTGCGCGTCCACAGGAGTTTGGGATTCACGATTTAGGGTGTCCAGGTTTCGAAGCTTTTTTTGAGATGTCAACTCCGAACGGCTAAGGGTTTAGAGGTTTACGGTTTCGGGCTTTGGTTTCATGATTCAGGCTTAAGACGCTATAACAGAGGTAGATCTGCATCAAGTCTTTGGCCTCGCTGATCCGCGCGCACTGGGTTCCTTTGCCTTCGCAAAAGACGCAATGTGCTTTGCCGACCCCCCTGATGCTGTCCTATAGCCCTATATAGCAACGACCTTTACACTGTACACCGTATGTCATGTGAATTCACTCCAGCCGTTGCTTTCAAGAGTTTCAAGATCTTCAGAACCCGAAGGAATCCAAATAATTAACAAATAAGACATGTCACGACATTAAGGAAGGTAAGGAATTCAAAACCGTTCAGGGATTTTGAGGAGCTTCAAGGATTGCGGTTTTTAATTTGAAGACTTCGAACTGATACTTGTCAGGTCTCTAGACAGAACGGAGCTCGTCAAACACAGCACAAAAGTCCTACGTACGTGCCCACTGACAACCAAAACCCCAAGATGCAGGCACCCAGCAAGACTTTCAGAACGGTGGAGCGCGTGCTCTCCGGAACTTGCTCTCTCAGAGGTCGTGAAACAACTCACTTTAGACAAGCAGCCGGCTCCGGGGCCACCAAGAACGAAAACCACAGAGGGCCTTTCCGTCGACATGCTCGGCTCAGCGTTAGGTACAGTAAGGGCTTCGAGGCTTTTGCCCCGAGTGTTGGCCGCTGGATGCTGCTACAGACGCTGCAAGAGTCATCAGATCACACTGACCGATTCTCAGGCCTTCCAGCGCTTGGGCCAACATCCGGGATCAGGCTGACTTCGAAGTAACAGTGGATTCGGAAGGCGACCTTCAGCAGCAGGTCTTTGCATCACATTATACTATTCTTCTGAAGAAAATCCTTAACTCCTTAACATACCCTAAACCCTAAACCCTTCTTGTCGCCACAGCTTGGCTCCTGAATGCCCCGTCCCGTCCCCTTGTGAAGTCCCTCCGGTCTGAGAGGCATCGGTCTATGCAGAACCACTTATATACATTACACATTATATATATATATACATATACATATACATACACTCGCTACCGGGCCGTGTCGAACTAAGACCCGGACGCAAAAGCGAACGAATTCTGCAGCATCGGTCGGGGCCACAGTTTCCCGAGACCTTTGCAAAAAAAATGTACTGGAATGCAGAGCTACAGAGACAGCCTGAAGCCTGCGCCTCACTGTTCTAGACATCGGACTCCGAAGCGATGCAATGTGCTCAACTGCCGACGCGGAAGCAACGACGACTCAAGAGCCGAAGACGACACGTTCAACACGGGTGGTCAGAAGGTCTCCTTACGGCACGGCGGGCATGCACACAGACGAGTGTTCTTTCTCGAACGACCAACAGACTGCAACGCACATGCTTTGCAGGAACATTGGATTGTGTCGACTTCGAAACGAAGCCGCCGAACCATCCGGTTTCATGAAACCTCGAGGATGCCGAAGAGTTGTGAGAAGTGAGCAGCCCATGACCCACAAGACCGCCCAGTCTCAAACGGCCCTGCCTCCTCGCCACTGTCAAGGGCTCAGCAGACGCGAAGCTTTGGAGTGGCAACCCCCGGCATCTTTGACGCATCGGAAACCAAAAACACCTTCGGAGATCCTGATCTCTTGTCGTCTTCCCTCGCAGTGCGGAAAGCTCTCTGGCCCTATCTTCGCCCCTGCGTCCCGCTAACGAGCACTTGTGGTTCCACTTCTGTGGGAGCAGGCTCAACAGATTTGGCTCAATCCTTGACAGGCTGTTGCCGACCACAGGAGTGTTACACTCCAGGCAGAGGTGTCATTACTCTGCTTTCAGGTGCTAAGTGGTCCTGAGAAGTTTCCCATCTGTTTGGAAAACATATTCGTGGGAGCACAGACGGCAGACACTCAAGATACTATGACATAAAACAAAATCATACAGCATACGAGGCATACAGATACTGATTTTAAGCTGGCAAGCCACGAAATCCTAACAGAAGCAGAGCCGATTACAATACATCAACGATTTGAAGCAGCATGCCATGCCCCGGTCGACGAAAGACAAGGTGAAAGCCGAGAGGTTAGATTTGTTCATTTCTTCCCTCCACTCGTAGCGACCAGAACTGAGCCAGGGCTCCGGTATAACAAAGTTCTGAGCAATTTTTTTGGTGTTGCTAAGATAACAGCCTATACATACAAACACTCGTACTAATCTATCAGAGATATGACAGGTGTAAATCTGATCGGATCGGTGTACCCGGTAAAGCAAAGGACAGACTCCAGACATCTGCAGGCTGGGAAACCACTCAGACGCGAACTTGCCCGTCAGCTGGCTAAAGGCGGCCAGGATGACGGAAATCACGGCAGAGGGGTCTTCTCGGAACCTCGGGGGAATCGCAAGATGAGCTGGGAAGTGAGACAGAGAAGAGTGAAGTGCTGCACTCACGAGCAAATCAAAGCAGGCTGCTGTGTTGGCTAATCTCTGCGCTGACGTCAGCCGGCAGTGTCTCCATCCGTTCGGAGGATACACTTCAAACACACAGCTCCTTTGGAGCGGCGAAACAAATCACTTTGTGCCACCACACGCCACACCTACAAATGCCTAACTGTAGCTTGTCAAAGATGCCGCTGAACCTTGCTATACTTTAGCTTGCTTCGGGAGTGGAGCCCTTTCACTTCCTCACATTGATATGGTTACCATGTCTGTCTACATCGTCATGTGTCTCATTTCCATTTAAGCAAGGCCAATATGCTGCTCCACTGAGCACCTTTATGATGGAGCCGCGGTCTTAGCGGAAGTTGCTCGGAGAGTTGGAGGTGATTCCAGCTACCCCCATCCGACGATGCTTTGTCAAGATGTCCTTGAGGGCATCGAATTGGTTTATGCTCATCCGACGACCTCCTTGGCCAAACAGGTCAGCGCATGACGAAGAACTTGAGAACACACGCAACATGTTCCGGGACACAGATGCTACGGGTTGCTCTGAGTCTTTGAGCTTCCCTCCTGAGTCTTGGACCTTTCCGGACGTAAGTCTGAACGCCCAAGCTAGATGCCTTCTCCTGCGGAACGTCGGCTGCGGACCAAGTGCGGCACAAAGACAAATCGAAATGAAGAAACAACACGGCGACGCATCGGCATCCGCCTGCGACCGCTCCAGCAATTCCGAGTACCCTTTCCTGCGGAGACACACATCGCAAGATTTCAGGAGCCCCTCTTCGCGCCAAGGAGTCACTCAACCCTAAACCCTAAACCCGAGACTCGGGTCGTGGCACTTCACTGTGCAGCCCAGATAAGTCACTGATGTTCGGACCTCGAAGAACATGAATGCCGCAGGGCTTGATTTGAAGGTAGGTTTAGGGTTTTCGGGTTTAGGGTGCAAGGTTTAGGGGTTTTACGTACGATTTGGAATGCAGAGCATTTGATATGTCACCTGGTATATCACATATGTTACTAGATGATATACGACATATATCGACATATGACATGATGTACGACATGTAGCTTCCAAGGTGAGGCGAGTCAACTCTGGGGCGACCACAAGGAATATCGTAATGCTGGAAGAGCTGCTTGGCCTCTCGGTACTGAAGAGAACTTCGGTTCAACACACCGCGATGTCCAGGGTTGACACAACTCAGCTCTGCCGGTAGCACGGCTCGACATCTTCTTGATGCCACAACGCTCCGGCCCCTACGGCAAGCGCCACACTAGCCTTGGACTTGATGGGTGAAGTGGCTCGCTGCTGCCGCTGCCTCATGAGAAGACAAGCTAATTGCATATATCTATATATATATACATATATAAGAGGAAGAAGAAGAAGAACAATAATAATAGTAATAATAATAGTAATAATAATAGTAATAATAATAATATTATTATTATTAAAGGCATTCGATTTACCGCACTTCGCTGCACTTCCCGTCCCTCCTCTCCCGGCCCTTGACTTGGGAGCCGGCGGATTCTTCTTCAGAACCCGAAGGCCCTGAGACGGACAAAAGGCTTCCCAACTTCCCCAGGGCATCGCACTCCGAGGCCTCCGAGGAGAAGAAAGTTCGGTCGCTGAACAACTCATCCTCCGTGACCTTACCCGGCTCTGTCGGCCTAAACTCCCTGCGGCGTCGTAGAGATCGACACCCGTAATCTGGGAAACCGGGCCATGTCCTTGAGCCAGAAGTTCTTGAACCTGTAACTCCTGGGTACCGCAGTCTTACGAGGTGTCGCAGCTCCACCGCACCCCCTGACGGCACGCAGCCAACTCTTGTTGAGGCCGGGGCTGCGATTTGAGATTCTCTTGGAAATGCTGGATGCCACTGTCTGTCTGCAATACCTGATTCAAGGCACAGCTGATACTCAGCTGGCATCACTTAAAAACCAGAAAAGAGTGGTCGGACCTGATCAATGAGTCGCATCTTTGGACCCGAGCCATTCTTGCGCCAATCCTCGGAATGCATTCATGAGTTACCGTCCATGGAAAAGGTTTAGGGTTTAGGGTTTAGCTCCGGAAAGTACCCGAAACCCATGATCCCAAAATCCTAAACCCACCTCGAAGGCATTCATTCGCTTGTCGTCGTTGACGTCCCGGTTCTTCTTCTTGGAGCTCCTGCGACTAGAAAGCCAAAGGTTGCATATCACACGTTAGGTGTTTGATAATAGATAGATATACTATATATGTATATAAAATACATAATCCACTGACAAGCCTCGGGATAGTAGAGCGGAACTGTGCGACGGGTCAACCTGCCCAATTTGCAAGACAAGCCTGAAGACTAAGACCCCATCGTCTTGGACATAACAGGCGTTCCACTCGACTCCTAAACCCTAAACCCTAAACCCCTAAACCCTAAACCCTAACGAGGTAGCACAGATTTGACGTGGGTTTTCGGGTAGAGGGAGCTGCAATTCGGGCAAGCAAAGAAGGGACTCCGAAGATGCCCCAAGTCCGAAGATCACGGTTTAGGGGTTTAGGGGTTTAGGGGTTTAGGGGTTTAGGGGTTTAGGGGTTTTAGGGTTAAGGGGTTTGGGGGTTTAGGGTTTAATCCTTTGCAAGCTAGCTTCCCAAGAGATGTGACAGGCGTTGGAGAGCTCCTCAAGGCCCAGGACGCCTTGCCTTTGGTACCCTGCACGGAGAATAGAACTGGAACTCGCCTGGCCGCGCAATGCAGCTCAATCATTGCAGCCGGCAGAGACATGATAGCGAAGATACTCGGTTCATTCGGTAAAGCAACAGGAGAAAGCTGACAAAACGGCCTAGTGCGCCCCATGTCAGCTGACTAAGCCAGTGGCTTCACACATGATGATAAGGGAACGACAGCAGCGCACACTTTCAAGCAAGAACTCTCGCGAAGTTCTTGGGCTGGCGGATAGCTTTGGGTTTAGGGTTTAGGGTTTAGGGTTTAGCTTTAGTCCGACATGTGGCCCTAATGGCTGCGATTGGGCATCAAGCAAGTGGTCAGTTTGACAGTTTGAAACCTCAAGACACGCCAACGAGCTATCGAGCTCAATTAGACTCCATAGAACTTGAAAGACATGTCTCTTGCAGCGAAAAGAGAGGGTGGGATGAGAGATGAGCAAGGATGGCTGCGAGCCTCAGAACGACGGCGAGGTGTCACATTTCTTGGACGTGCTTGGTGTTGCCCCCTAAACCGCTCCACTTGTCCACACTGTTGCTCGGCGCGCTCAATGTAATCATTCACCCTGACTGCACTTAGCCAGCCCTCCGTCCTTGTGAATTCGCTCCATCTGCTCCTGTCCTCCAAGTTGCTCCCTGCCCGTGAGTTGCTGTGAAAGGGTCGTTTGCTGTGCGACGACGCTTCTTCTTGAGGTGACTTGCCCCCGCCTTCAGACATGTGTTCCCTCTCCGAGTACCCGAGGCTTCTAGAATTTCAGAGGCTCAAGACATCTGCATTGCTCAGCATCGCCGTGTCTGTCGCGCCCGAGGGTCCCAAGCTTGCGCTTCTGAGGTCTGGCAAGCGTCGTGGCTTCGGAGCAAAAGAACTCGTGAAATGTTGCTTTAGGGCAGTAAAGCTCCATCGCGCCGCGGAAAAACGACTCAACCGACCAAAGACGTCAATCCAAGTGATGCAGAACTGTGCAGACTGACCTTTCCGCGCCTCGTAGATGCCCAGTTGGGGGTACGAGGGAGCTGTGCTCGCCGTGGCGAGGTGCAGACGTAAAGGTCACCAGCAGGCAACTTGGTAGCAGCGCAAGCAACTCATCATTTCTCGCGACTTTGCCAGAAGCTCCCTGAGCGGCTCACGGGATGCTTGCTCCAAGGCTTGACACCTCCATCTTTCTCTTTACAGCGGGAAGGACTTCAAATCAGCTCGAGGTCAAGGCCCATGCTGCTGCATGTGTCAGAAGGAGACCTTGGCTTCTGGATTTGGAGCACCCGAGGAAAATGGCCGAGACCGGCCCAACAAAAGGCACAGAAGCTACGAGGCACCGACCAGCTCCCGAGCTCTGGGGCCTCGGAAGCTTCGCCCAACAAAAAAAATTCGGGGCTCTGAAGGGGAACTCCACCGAGGTGTGCACGGAGGCCGATTCCCCGAGGCCCTGGCAGAAAGCCCCCCCCCTTTTTGAATCAGAAACCCCCCTCTCTCCAGGCGAAAGGGCAAAAAGGGCCTTGTCTGTGGACGTCAGCGAAGCTGAACTGACATGGCAGGAAGTGCACGAGGCAGACATGTCTTTTAAGGGCTTCTCTCCCTAGCACACCCAGATGGGCGTTGCAGGCAAATCACAGACGGCCGAAACCCTGCCCTGCGTACACACAGAGCCCGAAACGGAAAACGTGTATTTGTTGGGAGTGATTGTCAAACAAAGATTGGAGCTTGGCGGTTCTATGAATGGGCTAGTGGAGTCTTTTTCGCGCTACATGCTGCTCGGAAGCGGGATAAACTTTCGTGATCCACCCGGTTAACAAAAAGCTTTGGGGAAAACCGCGAATCTCTACCTATCTGTCTATCTATCTATCTTATCTTATCTTATCTTCTATTATATATTATTACATCGTAATATGTTATATTATATTATATTATATTATATTGTATTATATTATATTATATCATACTATATTATACTATATTATATTCGGATTTATCATACTATACTGCATTATAGTATATTATATTACATTATAATAGTATACTATAGTATATTATACTATATTATATTATATTACATTATAATAGTTTACATTATGTTATATTGTATTATATTATCATATATTTTACTATACTATATTATATTACAGTGTATTACGATATTATGTTACAAATTATATTATGTTATGTTAGATTATATTGTCTTATATTCAATCATATTATATTATAGTATATTATATTATAGTAGAGTATATTATATTGTATCATATCATATCATACCGTATTATACTATATTATATTGTATTCAGAATTCAAGCATATTCTGTTATATAATATTATGTTATAGTACATTACATTGTATTATATTGTATTATATCGTATTCTATCATATTGTATTATATTCTCTTATACTATATTATATTATGTCATAATATAGTATAATATAATATATTAATTGTATTTCATTGTATTGTACTGTGTTATGTTATATTATATTGTATTGCACTGTATTGTATTATATTATGTTATATTATATTGTATAAACATATATATATGTATAAATTCCCCATATACATACATACATACATACATACATACATACATACATACAGCGAGACCGTCGGCCTCAGGGTCTCCATGCTTCCGGGCCGTGACTCGCCAACATTCCCGCGCCTGCACAAGCGTCTGTCAGGCGAAGCGCAGCTATGAGCCGCCGTAGGGTTTGGGGTTTAGGGGTTTAAGATTTTGGGGTTTGGGGTTTAGGGGGTAACTGTAACCGTCCACAGCCTCTAGAACCCCTTAAATCAGAAAACTGAAAGGCCTCCAAAAACCCTAAGCCCTAAACCCTCAACCCCAAAAGCACTAAACACTACCGAACTCCGAAGATCTTAAGACATGGCCAGGGTCAGGCCCTCACCTCCGCAGGCGCTCGAACTCCAGGTCCACGGGTGGCGGAATTCCTCTGAAAAGCGGAGAGAGCAAGGGATTAGGGTTGAGGGTTTAGGCTTTAGGGATTAGGG